TGGGTTTTAGTTCATCTCAAACTCTTCTCTTTGTCCCTTCAGCAGTAGAACCTCCCTTTCATGCAAAATTTAAGGCAGAACCCCAAGATATAAAAATGAGTAAGAGCAGGGCTGCTCCACAGAAGCAGGATAAAGGGCTGAGATCCTTGTATCCCACCATCTCCTTTACCCAGCAGAGGCCGCAAACACACCTGGAATACTGTTTGAAAACCCCTGGTCCAAACCAATATCACTCTGAATTATGTGCTTAGGAGGCAAAAGAAGCACAACTAGAAAACCAACAACAGCCAGCTCAACCAAAGAAAAAAGGAAAAAACAACCCCTCCAACAGCAGTCACAGAGGTACCTTACAATCTGGGCCCTGACACTAACCATCTTAAGTTTGAGCATTTGAGGGGCCAGAAGAGGTGGAATTCAGGGCTGGAGCAGAGAGTCAGGAATGAAGCAAATCCAATAAAAAGGCAGAGGTGGGAAGCAGAGCCAACAGGGCACCAGGGCCAGCGGTCTGTGGTGAGCGAGGGAGGCTGCTGTAGGAACAGAGGTGGGAGCATGAGAGGGAAGCCAGCACAGGAACTGCTCTCAGAGCCAGCGCCTTCCGGCTTCAAGCTGTCCACACATATTATATGAGATAGAAATAGCAAAAACGTACCAACTACTTCAATAACCAATGGGGCGGGAGGGGGGGTGGCTATATCGCTCTCCTCCTCACCGATAGAAATAGTGCTCTTTCCTTACATATAGTAACATACCATTCGATGGCGGATACTGTCAGACGTAACAGGCAGAAATGCTCACCGTTGGGAGTAGTGTGGGAAACAGTTAAGAGTGCCACATTGCTTGGATTCACATCCCAGCTCTACCCCGTTCTAGCTGTGTTCCTTGGACAATTTACTTAACCTCTCAGTGCCTGTTTCCTCTTCTGTGATATGCAGATAACAAAGGCACCCATCTCAGAAGGCTGCTGTAAGGGTGACAGGTTAATACTTAAAAGTACTTAGAATAGTACCCAAGTTTGAACTGAATATTATTGTTTTCTTATTTTGCTAGCTTTCATTTCACTCCTGACCACTTTCATTTTTCTCTTCCACACCCTATTAGTTTCCTATTGCTGCTATGACACATTGCCACAAAACTAGTGGCTCAAAAATTACAAATTTGTTATCTTACAGCTGTGAAGGTCAGAAGTCTAAAATGGGTCGGCGGGGCCGCATTCCTTCTGGAGGCTCTAGGGAAGAATCCGTTTTCTTCTTTTTTCCAGCTTCCAGAGGTGGCCTGCATTCCTTGGCTCAGGACCCCTTCCTCACATTACCCCTACCTCCTACTAGGAACTCTGATTCTCTTGCCTCCCTACTATAAGAAACCTCTTGAATAGATTGGACCCACCCAGACTATCCAGGATAATCCCAGTCTCAAAATGTTTCATTTAGTCACATCTGGAAAGTCCCTTTTCTCACCTAAAGTAGTATATTTACAGGTTCTGGAGATTAAGATTTGGACACCTTTGGGAGGCCATTGTTCAGCCTACCACACATGCTTCTCCAAAGCCTACAATAACAGACTGCCAAGACTTAGGTAGGCCCAGAGGGAAAAATCAACAATATTCATAGCTAACGTTTCGAGCACTGACTATATGTCCGGCACTATGCAAAGTGCTCTAAGTGAATTATCCTACTTAGGTCTCACCCTGTAAAGTTACTATCTTATGGAAAGGTTAATTGCTTGCCTAAGGTTGTACAGCTAGTAGGCGGCAAAGCCTATGTCAACCCCATAAATTTGATTCTACAGCTCTTATATTTTGACCCATAGAGCGCCTTGTCCCTATACCTTATGCCATTCCATCTGGGGGGCACCATAATCATTAGCTGTCTTGGAGACTGTGCCATAAGAGGTATACATGCTCTCTGGGTACAGAAAAATGGGGGTACTGCGGAGCCCATGCTAAAAGGTCCACACAGATGGCTGAGCATTCAGAACATTTTCTTATAGGAGAAATCTTAGGGTTACTCAAGAATTTATGCAAATATAGGTTTGGACCAAAAATCCATGGAGGGACCATTTAGGCCTGCCATTGTTTGGGGAGGGAAAGTGAAAAGTCCTTTGCTGACCCCAGACCAGCCCTGCAATTCTAGTCAACCTCCCAAAAGAAGAAAGGAGCTGACAGTCTCCCCTGGAGAGGCTTCCAACTAAGATTGATCCAGGTCCTCTGAAACCAGACCAGGAAATCTCAGAACCCTGGCAGGCCACCAGAATGGCCCCACCCATAGCTCAATAGTCAGTACACAACAGGGCCAAACCATTCCCTGCTTCTACCCACAACAGTTATGAGGAAATGAGCCCCCATGTGCCACAGTTTTCAACAAGGGCCAGTGGTTTTACCAACGCCCACAATGAATGACCTTTTACCTACCAGTTCTTACAGAGAGAATGGCTCAAAACCAACTCCCCCCACCCCCAACACACACACACACACACACACACACACACACACACACACACAGAGAGAGAGAGAGAGAGAGAGAGAGAGAGAGACAAACACCCATTTCCATTTAAATGTAAATAGCCATATGTGGCTTGTGGCTACCATCCTGGGCAGCACAGCTGTAGAGGTCTGGGTTCCACTCCTGGCCCATGAACACCTATTTAAGCCATAACACAGATGAATTATAGCATTAATTAAAAACAAGTCTGAGTTCTGAATCCCAGGAGCAGAGAAAACCACATGACACTGAAGAGTTTTCTCTTCCTTTCTAGGCCTCATGGTTGACCCATGACAAAGGGCATCTTTACATCTTCATTCTCTACTCCCAATATCACATCTCTAACTCTCCTCTTGGGGACACCATATAACTTAGCTACATCCTTCCCGAAGTTCCATCGATACCTCCCAGCCCTTCTATGGGAGTACTATGCTCCCCAATCACCTGTCTTCCCTCTCCCCAACCAAATTCCCACTTGCTCAATGCCAAGATCTCAACCAAACATCAGGAGGAAAGCAACTTGATCAAACAAATTCATACTCTAAGTTGTTACTGCTTTCTCTGGCTTCTTCCCTGCTTTTCCTTTTGAACCAAAAAGCTCTAAATTGTTGTCTTCTCCCTGGACCACATCTCCCCTTGACCCCTCAGCAGCAGTAGCCCAGACAGAGAGAGAAGGAGCCCTGACTGAAGCAGTTGTCCTATATAGTCTGCTTGCCAGTCAGATGTGTGGAAGGCAGGGGCTGCTAACACACACACACACACACACACACACACACACACACACACACACACACACACACACACGCAGAGCAGCCTCACTCTGTGCAAATATCTCCTCTTGCCCCGGCATCAGAAACATTCCCTGCTCTCTGCTTTAGAAAACATCATGCACAATTCTGTTCAATGTCCCTTTATTCACTTAGAAATTTGTAGGTAGCAAATCGCACATCAAATGGATTTTTTAAAGTATACAACAAAAGCCCAGAGAAGACTGTGACTAAGAACGGTTGCAAATAGAAAAAGAAAACCAACCACCTTCACTGGAATCTAGCTTCACCGCAACCCACTTGAGCATAGAATTTTTAATGACACAGGTCAACCTTGGAGCACATCCAAGGAGCTTATGTTACTAGAAAGACTGGAAGAACATCCCTCCAGCTCAATCTCACTGCTTACTTGGTCTCAAGGCATGGACCAAAGATGATTATTATGCACAGCTCCTGGGTATAAGAAAAATTTCCCCGGTGGGGCTGTAAATGGAGGACAATGAGAATGGTAAATATTATGCTTTTCTCTAAATATTTTCTATTATATTATCTCCTTCTTCTAAGTAGAGATTTGTGTTGAAGAACCAAAGTCTTAACATTTAATACTAGCCCATCATTATTTCTAGAAGGCCTTCTAGGTGCAAGCACTGTGCCAAGAAAGCCACAGTTAATGCCTTTAGTAGGAAAAATGAGATGTCTACAGAATTAACTCTCAAAGAAGGCAGAGAGCAGAAAAGCAGGGAAGGTTAAGTGCTGCAAGAATCAGTGCAGGGGAAGGTTGATTATTTGGGGCTGGGGTATCAGGGAAGACTTCGCTGCAGCAACAAAACTCAGTCTGAAGACTGGTTAGGATTTATCGTGGTGAAATGGGGCAGGAAAGGTATTGGGAAGAAGGAAGGAGTTTAGATGGTCAGCATCATCAGGCATTCTTCAGAAAGTATTTGTGAAGACATGGCTGCACACAGAGTCCAGAGATAGTGACCTTCCCTTCTCCCCAATGACAACTGGGCCTCTGAACAGTTTTCTACAGGGTCACCTGCATCCATCACCCAAGACAGGTCCTCAAAAATTCTCCTTGATGGGGCCCAGCATTCTTGGCCTCTCTTGTGCCCATTCTGTGGCCGTGGCCCCACTCTATTCCTACCACGGGTTCCTACAAGAAACACAAAACGCACTAATTTTGCACGGATCTAAAGAAACCACCAGCACATTTTGCATAATGCCATTAAGATTATGAACCATGTGCAAAGAAAACTTTTCAGTGAAGTGAATCCTACTTAATTAACATCTATTCAGGGAGCTCACTATTTAAAACGATGCTGATACATCTTGAAATGATGAATTTTTCTTACACTGAATAATCGGTTGAGTCCATTGAACCAAGCGTCTCATGGCTTAAATACCAGGCAAAAGGGGGGGAAAAAACCATAAATGTATACTGTGCGTTCAACCTTAGCCACCACGGAGGGCTTCTAGCTCTAGGTTATTCATGGTTGCATTAGAGGGCTTGAAGAAGTAGCCATACTTCCAGGAGCCACTTAAAGCGAGACCCCATCCAATGTTGTATTTTTCAGGACTTAATGCATTGAAATCTCTCCAGGAACAATTTCTTGAGTACCTTCCTTGAAATACGGCTGCTAAACACCGCCACAAAAAGATCTGATACTTCTTCGTACTGGCCACCTTTCACACCGTGCACACAAAAATGAAATGAGGACCTGAGGTAAACATCTGGAGGAGTGAAGGAGGCACTTACGGGGTGTTCTGCAGCCCACGCGAGGGCTGGCCTGCATTCCCTCGCTTGTCGCCTACCTCAGTTCTCCTCGGGCCGGGGGTCGGCCGGGGGTGGGGTGTCGGAGAGCGTGAGGACACACTTCCACCAGGTACAGAGGGTTAGGCGACCTCCCTTGGCGGATCTACTGGCTTCGGAGATCAAAAGCCCATCGCTCCCCTTGTCCAAGCCTCAGGAACCGAGCTAGAGTCGTTTCCTCACCTTTTTCCTCTTCTGGCCAGTCGCGCCGGAGTCTCCAAGTGCAGCGTCCCACCCCTGGACGCGCCTGTCGCTAGCGGCGTCGAGTGTCCCCGCTACTGTATGTCAGCGGCAGAGCTGCTGCCAGGCGAGCGCAAGAGCGAGGCAAGTGCCGGGGAGGCAGAGCCCG